TGAAGTTTTCTCAAAACTGAGCCGACACCAAAGCAACCGGATTATCCTTCGTGTGGACTTTTACAATTTCCACATCGTCATCTTCAAGAACATCTCGAACGAAGTGATAACGAACATCAATGTGCTTCGTCCGCGCATGAAAAACCTGATTCTTCGCCAAATAGATAGCACTCATGCTATCATAATGAATAGTGACGGACTTCTGCGATATACCAAGTTCCTCCAAAAGTCCTCGAAGCCAAATAGCCTCCTTTACAGCCTCTGTAACTGCCATATACTCTGCCTCCGTCGTAGACAAAGCCACCGTCGACTGTAAGGTGCTTCTCTAACACACCGGTGCACGGGTCAAAGTGAACACATACCCCGTCGTAGACCGGCGCTTATCCAAATCCCCGGCATAATCCGAGTCCACATAGCCAATGCATAGCTGCCCACCTGTAGTGTCCCGCTCATAAACCAAACCAACATTGAGCGTACCTCGAATGTACCTCAAAATCCATTTCACGGCGTCCCAATGACCCACTCCTGGATCGTGCATGTATCTCGAAACCATGCTTACCGCCTGTGACAAATCTGGCCTCGTACATACCATCGCGTACATCAAGCTCCCAACCGCACTCGCATATGGAGTCTTCGACATCAACTCTCTATCTTCAACTGACTTCGGTGAAAGACCAGCTGAAAGCTTCAAATGGGCTCCCAATGGTACACTAACTGGCTTCGTATCCATGCTAACATGGAATCGCTGTAGAACTTTCTTCAAATAAGCCACCTGTGTCAAACAAATTCTGCCCTTTTTCTTGTCTCTGCCGATCTCCATCCCTAAAATGCGCTTCGCCTCACCCAAGTCCTTCATCTCAAACTCATTTGAAAGCTGAACTTTCAACTCATCTATAGCCGACCTGGAAGTAGAGGCAACCAACATGTCATCGACATAGAGCAACAAATAAATGTACGCACCTCCTTTTAACTTACGAAAATATATGCAAGATCAAACTGGCTCCGAGTGTACGAATGACCAATCATAAAACCATCGAATCGCCTATACCACTGTCGAGGAGACTGCTTTAAACCATATAGCGATTTCTTTAGTTTGCAAACCAACTTTTCCTTTCCTGCAGCTCGGAATCCCAATGGCTGAGTCATATATATTTCTTCATCAAGATCACCATGAAGAAATGCCGTCTTCACATCCAACTGATCTAACTCCAAACCATACTGTGCCACCAAAGCTAGCAAAATCCGAATCGAAGAATGCTTCACCACGCCTATACCACTGTCGAGGAGACTGCTTTAAACCATATAGCGATTTCTTTAGTTTGCAAACCAACTTTTCCTTTCCTGCAGCTCGGAATCCCAATGGCTGAGTCATATATATTTCTTCATCAAGATCACCATGAAGAAATGCCGTTTTTACATCCAACTGATCTAATTCCAAACCATAATGTGCCACCAAAGCTAGCAAAATCCGAATCGAAGAATGCTTCACCACCGGAGAGAAAACCTCATTATAATCTATTCCTTCCTCCTGTGCATAGCCCTTCGCAACCAACCTAGCCTTGAACCTCACTGGAGTCGGCATACCGTGCTGGCACCCGTATGTCTCTCCTCTGTCTCCGTGCCGCAATAGAATCCTGAACCTGAGCCGTCGGTTCCTGATCCTGCACATCAGTACCCGTATCCTCTGTGTCACCGTCATGATCGCCTGGCGTCATCTGAGTCGGCACTCTAATGGATACTGTACCATTTGGCCAATGTGGAGCTGCATCGATCTCTACCACCTACGATATCTCCTCCGTCGGGTCGCTCTCCACTTAATAAGAGATGGAAAGCTTCAAGATAGATGGCTCATCAAATGTGGCGTCCCTACTCAGCACAATCTTCTTATCAACTGGATCCCAAAGCTTGTATCCCTTGACACCACGCTTGAATCCCACAAATATAGCCTTCCTAGCTCGAGGTTCCAATTTATCAGTTCTAACATGATAATATGCAGGGCACCCGAATACCTTGAGCTGGTCATAGTCATGTGCTGGCTTTCCCGACCACATCTCCATAGGGGTCTTCCCCTCAATCGCAGATGAAGGCAGCCTATTAATGAGGTGGCTCGCATATGTAAGTGCCTCAGCCCAAAAGATCTTCTCCAAACCACTCTGCGACAATAAGCATCGGATCTTCTCCAGTAAAGACCGATTCAACCTCTCTGCCACCCCATTTTGCTGCGGTGTATGACTAACTGTGAAGTGTCTCTCTATGCCCTCGTCTCGACATAGCTGCTGAAAGGGGTCAGAAGTATACTCACCACCGTTGTCGGATCGCAACGTCTTGATCTTTCTCCCAGTCTGCAGTTCCAATCTCTTCTTCCACTCCACAAACAAATCTAGGACTTCACTCTTCTTCGTCATGGTGTACACCCAACAACGCCTAGAATAGTCATCTACAAAAGTGACGAACCAATGTCTACCACCAAGTGATGCAGTCTTGGTGGGACCCCAAACGTCTGTGTGCACGTAGTCCAGGATGCCCCTCGTCTGATGAATGGCAGTCCCGAACTTCACCTTCGTCTTCTTGCCAAGAACACAGTGCTCACAGAACTCAATCTTCCCACTCTTGGCTCCCTTCAATAGCCCCTGCTTGCACAATGCCTGCAGTGACTTTTCACCTGTGTGCCCCAATCTATAGTGCCAAAGTCTGCTCATGTCCGCTTCTGAAATAGCCGAAGCAACCTGGCCAATCTCGGTGCTTCCCTTCAGATAATACAAATTCCGATTGCGGACTCCCCTCATCACCACCAATGATCCCTTAGTAACCTTCGCTACAGCGTTTTCGAAAGTCACCTTGAATCCCTTCGCCTCCAAAGCTCCAACTGAGATAAGATTTTTCTTCAGTTGAGGAACAAATCTCACCTCCTTCAACTCACGGACTACTCCATCGTGCATCCTAATCCGTACGGTACCTATCCCACAAACGCCACAGGATTGATCATTTGTACCTATCCCACAAACGCCACAAGATTGATCATTTCCCATGACAACAACGCCCCCGTCGACTTTCTCAAAAGATGCAAACCAGTCTCGCCTAGGGGTCACATGAAAGGTAGCGCCGGAATTAAGCATCCAATCTGATGCATCCACATGGTTCACCTCCGGAGTAATCAGTAGAGAAAAGCACGAATCATCGGAATCATCGCCTTTCGCAATGTTCACCTCATTGGCCTTCGGGCCCTTTTTCTTGCCATTCTCTTTCTCCTTGAGCTTCGGGCAGTCTCTCTTCCAATGTCCCTGCTCCTTGCAGAATGCACATTGGTTCTTTGTTAATTGGTGGCGGCCTCTAGACTTTGACCTCCCTCTGTTACCACCTTTCGGATATGGGCTTCTACCTCTCGTCGACAAGGCCTCTCCTGAAGTACTAGCGCGGGAAGTCTCCTTATCCTTCCTCCTCAAATCATAGTTGGTCAATGCGTTAGTCACTTCACTATAGCTGATAGAAGATCTCCCATTTAACAAAGTGAGCACGAAGGTATCATACTCCTCATCCGGTAAGGAGCCCTACAAAATAATTGCCTTGTACTCATCCGATATCTTCTCATCAACATTCGCCAAGTCCGACAACAACTTCGTATAGTTGTTCACATGAGCCGCAAGCGAGGTGCATCTGGACATCTGGAATCTGAATAACCTACGCAGCAAGTGCAACCGGTTCTCAACACTCTTCGTAAGGTACTTATTGTTGAGAATTTCCCATATCTTCATCGCAGACGTCACCCCAATCACATCATACTTCAGTTCCTGTTCTAAACAGGACATGATCACCCCACAAGCATTCCTATTCATTTTCTCCCATACTGCCTCTTCATATTTAGGTGGCCTCTCGTGGACCATAATGGTCTCTTCCAAATTCTGAGCATTAAGCGCATCCTGTACGTCGCTCATCCACAAACCAAAGTTGATTTTGCCGTCATACTTCACCACACTAATTTTAGTGTTCTGAAAACCAACTTGTATTGTACTCGCCATCGATTTGCTGCTTTCACCTTCTTCTCCCATTGCAAACTAACTCCAAAATTGTAGAGAAAGAATAAATTTGATAGAAATTAGGAACCACCCAACTGAACCCTAGATTGGATTCTAAATAGATTTCCTAACCACACGAGGAAAGCGAAATCTCCAACGGTAACTCCTAATGCTATCTCCACCGAAGCCGAGAGCTCCAAGAACTAAGCTTCACACAAGAATCTTCCTCCACCAAAAAACCCTAGATCTGAAATCTGGGCTCTGATACCACTTGTTGCGCGCAGCGGAAATTTCGGCAGCACTTCGGCAGCACAACAAGAGAGTCAGGTCGCAATAAGAATTCCCGTCTCACCAAGGAGACAAGAATCTGAAGCGGATATCTCAACCAAGTGAGATATCGGCTCTTCCTCTCATCAGTTCTAGGACTGACCTGTCGAGGGATCCTAAAAGCTATTACAAATCACACAAAATTCAGTACAACCAATTTTACGTGGTTCGGCAAATTGCCTACGTCCACGGGGCAAGGAGGGGGGGAGATCTACTAATAGAGGGAGAGAATACAACTAGGGTTTACAATCACTCACAACCTAAACCCTCAAACAAACTCTCAGATCCCTCACAAAATCTCTCTACAAATAAAACAAAAGGACTCCACAAAAGCCTCAACACAACCACAATTTGTCCTCTATGTTTTTCACCTGCAGCCGCACAAAAGAGAAAAACCAAATCTCCTGATTGCCTTTTCCTGTAGCCGCACAAGTGCACTGTAGCCGAAGTTTTGCTGCAGCCGCAAATCTTCAAAATCACCTCCTGCGCACACGTTTTCAACAAAGCCCCCTGCCTGCTTCCACTTCACGAAACCCTAGGATGGGTTTTTAAATGGTTTGTTAATGGGCCGCACTGCATCCGGGTCATGTGAAAGAAATCCACAAAACTCGGTGTGGCCCCCACAACCCCACAAACACGTTTCACGTGTTCACAGTGAGATCAATGTTGAAAGAAGTAGGCAGAAACATACTCTTTGACCTTAGCTGCTTTATCTAAGGGGAAAATACGATCATGATCTCCCCATATGATCAAAACATCCTTAAAAAGATAATCAAAACAAACAAACTCAGACTCATCAATAAATTAATTATATTACACTAACTACTAACTAATTAAAGTACTGATAACAATATAAATTAATAATGGATATCACGATATAAGTAATATTTAACACCTGAGTGAGCTGAGTAAGTTGAAACTCATTCTTGTTGCCGAGAGAGACTCCATTTGTGAGCTCCACTTTCTCCTTCCGGTTTGTGCAGTATAGATTCTGCAATGCAGTTTTTTCACCATTATAACTAACAACTTAACCAAACAATTCCGACTTCTTAAGAAACTAATTAATTTATCCAGAGAACTTACGGATTGAGGGGGAAACCATATATTTGTGCAATCGGAAAAAATTGTTAGACATTATTTATTTTATTTATTTTAAAAGTTACTATCGAGCATATACATAAGCTAAACTACTTTCTGTCGTAGAATTTGAATCTGGTAAAAGACGGAATATAATTATTGTGCTTATTCTCCTAGCAGTCTTTTCTCATATGTGCACATTTAAAGGATCTCTTTCGCAAATTACTCAAAAAGGTCCTACCAATACACCAATCCAGAATTATGATTATGGTTGAGGGATGTGATTTGGGTTTTCCAATTTTACACCCCATAATTAATCATGTGTTTTTGCACTATCCGTCCTAAATCTTAGTATTCACAAAACTATCCTCAAAGTTGTCACCTTTGAAAAAAATTTATTTAACATTTTAGCAACGCGTCAACTATGGTAGACTAGTTCGTAGCTACAATGTAAAAGTATCACCCAAAAAAATAAAGATAAAGAAAAAAAAAACTTCTACTCATAGTGCTTAACAAAGTCAATGTTTTGTTTAATTGAGGGGTACTTTTTATTCACAGTGTCCAATCATCTGTTTGAAAAATCAACGACAACGACAATGATATAGGGATCAACTTCTGAGTAGTGAAGAGGATTTGAATCCATTTTTTCCCCAAAAATATTGATGAATTGATGGTTTGTTTCGTAAATATTGAGATTTGGGGGTAATTTTGAAAATATCCATGATCTAAGAGGTATATATACAAAAACTATATAGTTTTATATTCTATCCCACAAGTTGATCACCATATTTCCATAGCTAGATTCATGTAGCGATATTTTTACTTTAAATTTGTGATATGTAAAATTTAGATATAGTGTAAAATGAAGTTAATTTCCTTCCGCCACATTAAAACTATGGCAGTTATGATGAGTGTATTTAGGCTTATAATTTTATACTCTTGACATAAATAATCAAACTTCATCACAAAACAAACTGCTTCATTTATAGTGATAGACAAGCAAGTTCTGAAACTTTTTTGTTTATTTATTCTAAGAAAAAATGGTACTGGCCTTGAATTTGGAGTATTTTCTTGGAATTTATCCACGGGTTTCTTTCCTCCTAGAAACCACCTTCAAAACGGGATTGTTCCGTAGAAACAACCTTTAATTATCAATTGATATAATAAAAACAATCTTTAAAGTGTTCTACTGGCCTCAGCCAACCTCAATTAAGAATCATCTCTCTAATATGTTTGCTATTTGACAACTAGTTATTACAGCAAAATCAGAAGAAAAAATTGAATTAAAAGTGGCTCCTAGCGGTTCATTACAGTAGAAAAAATTTGTTTAAATATAATTTACATATAAATTGACAATCAAACCATGATTTCTATAAAAAATCCTATTTTTAAACTTGTTTTTTAGGAAAGTGGGGATGGGTGGGGGGGGGGGGGGGGGAGCCTTCATCCAAATTCCGAAGATACCAAAAGCAACGTGCGTACCTGTTTAGAGCATCCCTACAGAAGAAAACCCGGCATGAACCGATGGCGGATTTTGTGCACGCCGAACTCAATCAGCTTCCTCAAACCGTTTCGGTGCTCCGCGGTGCCATCATCCACACACGTTCACACCCCGGGCCCTCTCCCTCCAGATCACTGTCGTCCTCCTCCCCTTTCAACAAATCGAGCTTGGCGAATCACCGACGCGGAGCGCACCCGATCCCGAGCATCCTACAGCTCAGTGGTACGCACTGAAAGACCCCGTAGACTGCGCCCACAGTAGACTCCTCAATCGCCGAGCGGTCCACCAATGGGCTATGGACTCGGCTGGAATAGTTCTGGACCGACGCCGCGATTCCGTAGTGGATCCACGAGAATATTATGGTCGGGACCACGAGAGGGAATGTCGGCGGAGAGGGGGCGCACCTGGTTGGCCATGCCACGTGGAAGCGTGTCCCCATGCGTGGATCCAGGGAACACCGGCAGATGCGGGCCTGTGAGGGCCTGGAGGCCAGTAGCTGATGTGGTCTACGGATCGAGAGCGATCGGCGGATTGCATGTCCGGAGCCAGCGAAGGCGAAGGCCGCGACGCTCGTTGACGTTGGCAGATGATGAGGGCAAGCTGCCTGGAGCCTCACCATTAAAATGAATTAGCAGGTTGGCCCCCAGGCCGGCTCAGACTCTAATTATTGGACTTTTCCTTCCTTTGGTTGTGGATTACATAATATATCAGGTAAATTTTTTAAAACACCAGTTGTTTCAAATCTTATATAGCCAAATAACTCTTTCCGAACAAGAATCAGCCAAAACCGACCCTTTTCAAATAAAAAAGGAAGGAAAGTGGGGATGGGTGGGGGGGGGGGGGGGGGAGCCTTCATCCAAATTCCGAAGATACCAAAAGCAACGTGCGTACCTGTTTAGAGCATCCCTACAGAAGAAAACCCGGCATGAACCGATGGCGGATTTTGTGCACGCCGAACTCAATCAGCTTCCTCAAACCGTTTCGGTGCTCCGCGGTTGCCATCAACTCCACCACTTCACACCCCGGGCCCTCTCCCTCAGCATCACTGTCGCTCCTCCCCTTTCAACAAATCGAGCTGGCAATCACCGACGCGGAGCCCACCCGCATCCCCGCACATCCTACAGCACGTGGTACGCACGAAACCCACCGTAACTGGCCCACAGTAGAAACTCCTCAGATCCCGAGCCGGTCCACCAATTGAGGCTATGGACTCGGCTGGGAATAGTTCTGACCCGACGGCCGCGATTCGTAGTGGATCCACCGAAGAATATATGGTCCGGGGGACCACGAGAGGGAAGTGGCGGAGAGAGGGGCGCACCTCGGTTGGCCCACTGCACGTGGAAGCTGTGTCCCCATGCCGTGGACTCCAGGGAACCACCGGCAGAATGCGGGCCTGTTAGAGGGCCTGGAGCCCAGTAGCTGATGTCGGTCTCGGACAAGAGCAGACGGCGAGATTGCATGTCCGGAGCCAGCGAGGCGAAGGCCGGCGACTCGCATCGTATTGACCGTTGTGGCATGATGAAGGAGAAGATGCCTGAGATGCCTCACCATTAAATGAATTAGAGTTGGCCCCCAGCCGGCTCAGATCTAATTATTGACTTCCTTCCTTTGGCTTGTGATATAATAATATATCATCGGGTAAATTTTTTAAAACACCATTTTTCAAATTTATATAAGCAAAATACACTCTTTCCGAAACAAAATCAGCCAAAACCGACCCTTTTAAATAAAAAAGGAAAGAGTCGGTTTTGCTGCGGAAGAGATTTTGGAATTGCACGGGGACTAGCAGTCCCAGTGCAAATTTCATCTTTCCTTGTTCAATCCAAAACATTTATTCCCGTTAAAGTAAACCCTCCACTCTAGCGCTTTACTAACCAGTCAACCCTAACACACATGCTTGCTGGTTTCACCCTCGGCAACGCCAACACCGAACATTACGACGACGCGGACATCGAGAAGACCGGTGAGAGCTACGCGGCGGCCAGGCAAAACCGATGATGTGGAGGTTGTGGTAGTTCAGGAAGGTCAAGGCGGATGTGATCAACAGGATTAGCGGGGTTCTTCGTAGGGAGGGTGGAGGTAATCGAGGAAGAGGACGGGGTAGTAGGCGTTGTCAATGGCGCAGGAGGCCCACTTCCAGAGGCCCAGCTGGAAGGCCCAGAAGGGGGAGGAGAAGGCGGAGGAGACCCAGAGGACGTAGCCGTCGTTGGAGGGGAAGAGGGAGGAGAGCTTGGCGGTGATGAGGGCCTCGGGGAGAGACCAGAGGAGGGGGAAGAGGAGGAAGTCGGTGATGGAGAGGGG